TGCCAAGTACCAACCCAGTGAGGATTAGTCACCTCAGCTGATTGGTGGAAGACTGAATGACACCATCAGAATCGATCAGGGACCACAGAATCTTGTGTAGAAAACAAGGACAGATGGTGTTCTCATCACTTCTCCCTTTTTTTGAATGTGGGAACCTTTGGAAAAGAATGCAGAACTTTGGTATCTAATGAGAACCTACTGTATAGCTCAGGGAACTCTACTCAGTGCTCTGTGGTGATCTAAATGGGAAGGAAATACAAAAAAGAGGGGATATATGTATACGCATAGCTGATTCACTTTGCTGTACAATAGAAACTAACACAACATTGTAAAGCAACTATACTCCAATAAAAATTAATTTTAAAAAATTAAACTTAATTTAATTTCCACTAAGCTTCCATTGAATTCAAAGACAATAAAATAAAGGACTTTTGCTAAATATTAAAAAAAAAAAAAGACTGCAGAACTTTGGTTTTTCTGGATTTTGTTTTGGAAGTAGAAATGATGAGCTTTTAGCTGAGAATGGAGTCCTTTTCATGAGCATGAGGAAGAAAATATTTTCCCAGAGCAAGTTAACCAGGTCCAAAAGGATATACATGAAACATGAGAGAAGGAAAGGTATACAGATAATCCTAAGCACTCTGAAGAATAGCTCATAGAATACAGAAGAGAGAATTAGAGTTGGGGTGGGGGTAGAAGGGGATAGCTCAGTGATTCAAATGAGAAAATATCAGTGTGAGATAAGTTAGAAAAGGACTCCCAGACTTGGGCACAGTGAAGAGTAATCTCTAGATCCAGATAAATCCATTAAGCCCTCTTTGTGTCTTAATTGAGATGCTCTCCCAGACTCCAGTAGGAGCCTTGTGTGTATAAAGAGGGAAATAATAAGACCCGTTTGCTTGCTTTCTCTGAAAATCAAATGAGGTGATGCGTGTGAAAGAGCTTTGTATCTGGAAGTGATGTGGTAGTGTGGTCAGGATAATGATTATTAGTAGAAGAGGGAGAGACAGACTAACACTCTGAACATCTGTGTCACTGGAGTTAGAGGTGCCTTAGAAGATAGCATTTGGGTGAGAATAAAAAGGAGAAGCAGGGGATGTCCAATAGGAGGCACTGACCAATAGGAGGGACTGTAGTGGGAATTCCTGATATTGGCAAGGTATGTTTTTGTAAAACTTTTAATTATCTGAACTTCTGCTTAGGTCCTTGCCAGCTTGACAGCAGACATTTTGACACATCCATGTCTCGTTGATCATTTCATTTTCCAGAAGATGGAAGTGATATGGGGTACTACCACTCTGGATCTAATTCAAACCAGAATGGTGAAGTGCACATCACAGGAACTTGGGAAGAAGCAGCAGTGTCTCTGTTTTAGATTGGTTGGGAGGTCAAGGCCAGGCCAAGAAGTGAATGTGTAGTTTTCTTGTTTTTATTTTATTTATTTTTATTTTTGGCTTAGTTGTGTCTTAGTTGCGGTATGCGAGCTCTCTAGTTGTGGCACGGGCTCAGTTGTTGCAGTGCGTGGGCTTAGTTGCCTCGCGACATGTGGGATCTTAGTTCCCCGACCAGGGATCGGACCCACGTCCCCCGCATTGGAAGGCAGATTCTTAACCACTGGGCTGCCAGGGAAGTCCCGAATATGTAGTTTTAGAAAGGCTAGACTTGCAAGGACAGGAAAAGCAAAGTTCAGTACACTCTCAAAAGTATCATTCTACTTACACAATTACAGTTAAGCTGGTGAAAAACATCCCCAAACACAGAGCTCTCAGAAAATATTGTGAGTTTTCAAAGATATATATTGATACAAAAGATGGAAAGAAAGACCTAGAGTCAAGACATGGATTTCTGAGCATAGTCTCAGGAAAGTGTAAGCCTCTGATAAGCAGGGACAGGTTTAGGACAAAAAAGGACAAAGGATTCTTGTTTTTTCCTAGGTACAGAGCTGAAAAGAAGTGAAAGACCCTTAGCCTGGGGCCAGTGTCCCTGTGTTGAAAGAGAGAAATACACTTCTTTAAGAATGATCTTTGAATGCCATAGGAAAATGTTAATAATTGCAAGGCTGAGTAATGAACATATCAGTCTCTCTTCTTTTGTGTATGTTTGAAAATTTCCATGATTTTTTAAAAAACTACATTTGTATTAAAAACTATAGAAAACAGTTGATAAGAGGAACTGCAGTAAGATGAACACTGAGTCACAGCCCCACCTGTACCCAGATTAGTGGTAGGAAAAAAAAGAAGGGAGGGGTATCAGCAAGTGCCACCTTTTTTGAAATAACTAGTAAATTCTTCATTGCTGTGTTACCCTTGGAGAAATCATGCACATATCAGCTTTGAGGAACAATCATTGTGTGTCGGTATGCTGTTTATGTCTCTCAGAAAAACTGGAACAGGCAGAAGAAACTGGGTTGTTGGTGTTTCTAACAGGTCTGCATTGAAGACAGAAGCCCCTCAGGGATAAGGGGCACAGACCTTCTGAGCTGCACTGTTTCACAGTTCTGTGTTGAGGGTAGTCCAAGAGAGGCCTCTGAGTGACACCAGACTCCTTGCCTCTGAGGCCAGCCCTGTATTCAGCTGCATCAGCAGCATCCTGACCAACTCATGTGTTTCATGTTCTTCCATGTGGATTTGCTGCCACCATGTGTTTATCTATTAGAATAAAAGTACCAGAAAGCAAGCTGATGGGGGGGGGAAAAGCAGGATTATGCATAGAAACCATGAAAGACTAAAGAAGGTTACTCTTCTCAGACTCCCTTACTGCTTCTTCCTATTCTCCCCAACTTCTCCGTGTTGGGGTGCCCCTAAGACACTCTTCTCTATTTGTATTCATCCCCTTGATGACCTCATCCAGATTCATTACTTCAAATACCATGTATATGCTGATGACTCTCAAATGCTGTCTCCAGCCCAGACCTGGCAACCAGCCCCCAGTAGCTTTCAGGTAGATGTCTCAGAACTCAACATGTCTAAAACTAAACTCTCTGCTGTCTCGCACCTGCTCCCCTCAGAGTCTTCCCTGTCCAGGTTTGATGGCAAGTTCCTCAGACCCTGACTTCTCTTTTTTATACCCTACATCCAGCCCATCAGGAAATCCTATTTATTGCCTTGACCTTCAAGTCATGTCCAGATTCCAAAGTGCTTTTCACATCCCTGCTACCACCATCCTGGTTTGAGCCGCCCTCATTTCTCACCTAGACTCCTGTTCTTTCTATTTCTGCATTGCTACCTTAATGGTCTCCTTAGCATAAATTAAATCATGACACTTCTCTGCTCAAAAACCTGCACTGGCTCATCTCACTCAGTAAAATCCAACACCATTATAATGCCTTTCGGGCCCTCGTGATCTGCCCTCTTCTTACCTCTGTGTCTTTATCCCTGGCCTAACTGCCCCCCCCCCCCCCCCCCACTCCAGTAACACTGGCCTCCTGAGGTTCCTCAAGAAATCCCAGGCACATCCTTGCCTCAGGCTTTGCACTGGCTGACCCTGGTTGCCCAGGTGCGTTTCTGCAGACCTTCACAAGCCACCTCCCACACATCCTCTGTGTCTTAGCTCAGATGTCACCTTCTCAAGAATTAAGGCCCACCCACTCTGACCATTCTGCTTTAGAGTGCCACTGTCACTCCTGAACCTCTTTACCCTTAACATCTTTTTATCTGTGTAGTATTTACTCCCTTCTGACATGCTCTATAATTTGCTCACTTATTTTGTTTACTGTTTACCTCCATCTGCTGAAATGTAAACTCCATGGGAAAAGTGGTCTTTTGTTCTGTTCACTGGTGTATTCCATGAGCCTAGAACAGGACCTGCCTCAATAAAGTACTGATAAAAAGAAAAATAGAAACTGTCAGAAAGGAGGAAGGATCATCAGTGTCAGGACAGCCGGGAGGCCCAGCAAGATAGGAACTGAAGACTCTCCACTGAGTGATAACCTGGGGAGCTTCTCTTTTGTCAGGGGACCCAGTGGAGGGGTCTGCACTCTGTGCCTCTTAGGGAGGTGATGGGCTGAGGGAGGCTTAATTTCTATTTCTGAAAGGGCAGAAGCTCAGTCCTCCTAGCACCTTAGAGGGCCTGTCACCAGCCAGCTATGGAGGCCTGTCTTAAGCGATCTGTGCATTGAAGCTGCCTCTCGTAAAGCCAACCCCATCCTGCAAACACAGAGCTCAGCAAGAGAGTACCCAACTACAGGGGCGGAAAGCCTTGTGTCTGCTTGTAACACCCTGGAACAGTACTCTGTAACAAGCCCCTTTTACAAGTTAATGAGTGAAAATGCCAATTTTAAAATTATTTAGTGGTTACTAAGAGGTTTATTTGTTAGGCTCATTAGTCCTTTTAATCAGAAGTCAGTCATTCTCTTTGCTGTCACAGTAGCTTTTCAAACCATTCGGTGCCTGGTTTAAGAGGCATTGAATCTTGAGAGAACATTGAAGTCATTTGCAGTTATAAGACCACTGGGACTTCGTCTTCTCCTAATACTTTTAAGAAAGTTGTTGGCTTGAATTTAGTTGTTTTATTTTATTTAAAAAATAGGTATTTACTTTGAATATATATTACTACATATAAATTTATTGTCCCTTATGAAAAGCTGGTTGTTACTTTGATAGTTAACTTTTCTCACTTTTTTAGACTTTACCAGTAGATTTTTGCTAATTTGATTAAATAGCATGCTTGTTACTTGTCATAATTATCATAGAATTGTTTTTATTATTTGGGATAAGCCATGATGGACCATTCTAATAAAAGCCGGCAGGAAATCAAGGCTCTCCTCTCAGAGTACCTTGTGGAGACAGTATTGTCTAGTTGGGTCGGGAAGCCCAGCTTATCAAAGTCTTCTCACACTTTGTTTCCTGTGAACCAGGACATGGTTGTGATGACTCATCAGAAAGGAGCTTGGAGTTGGTATTTGGGGGATTGTTTCCCTGCCTGACATGGGGTGTAGATGACAGTGTGCTGATTCTGGGGGTTGGGATAATAACTCAGTACTTTCCTTTCCTTTCTCACAGTTGTTTCCTCTCTTTGCTCCTGGTGGCTGCTGTGGTTTGGAAGATCAAACAAAGTTGTTGGGCTTCCAGACGTAGAGAGGTAAGCCTCAGTGGTTAAAGATTAATGAATCCCTGTAAGAACGTTTTCCTTCGTATTTCCCTTAAGCAAGTCAGTTTTGCTATTTAGTGATAATTGATGGATATATCTATAGAGAGAGTAATGTATGGTCAGTAGACTTCAATCAGTGCTATGTAAGCTATAGTTCATTCTGCACCACATGGTTTTAACTTTCTAAAAGGAAACTAAGAATCATACTGACTTACAGGTGAAGTCAATTTTTTTATCCTTCCTACCAGAAGCTGGTTCCTTAGCTCAGGCTGGAGATCTGAAGGCTTAGTAGCACAGCCTTTACAGGAGTCTTTCATGAGGATGAGAGTAAAATATCAAAAGTTTCTCATTATTCAAGGAAAGATAAATGTGTGTCTAATTAAGTATTTGCCCGAGTTCTGTTTATTAATGAGTGTTTCCAGAGCTCCATTCCAAAAGTAATATTAATAAGTCCAGAAAATATTTATAATTGGCAAATCAAATAAACTTGATGAAAAATTACAACACAAAAACTGTTTATTGCAACTTTCACTTGTGTATTTACTCTGCCTTTTAGTCATCATGTCTATTGCATTGTTGCTAAATAGAGGTGCACTAAGATCTAGACTTTGTGCTCTTTGGTTTTCTATATAAAACTTGATCTACAGACAAGATTTAGAGGAGAACAGAAATATCTAAAATCAAAATTCACAAGCATGCAGCCCTGTTCATAGAACATTAGTGTCTGTAATGGGGTTAAGATAGGCTTCAGGATATGAGCCTCTTCCTGGGGGCCGTGACACCTTTTCTGACCCATGTAAAGGTGATGTTATCATAGAGGTAGCGTTACACCCTCTTTATTATGATTTTAAAAATTCAGTGGATAACTTATTCAGAGGTTTTTTTCTTTTTAATAGCTCTATTACTAAGATATTTTAAAATCTCAACAAATAGCACAGTATTCTGAAAAAATATGTTATCCAAATGTGTAATAAAAAAGTGAGAAGCCATATAAACTAGTACCAAGGAAGGAATCAAAAACTTGTCAAGATATTACTCTCTCCACAAAGGGTATTAGACCCAAGGAGTTTCAATTTGAGATGAGCTTATGGAGATAATAATAGTCTATTCCTTCTTGGGTGCTTATGAGAATTAATTATTTCCAAAATATATAAACGGTTCCAGGGTAAAGGAAAAGATGGGAAGCCTAAAAGAATCCTGATACATTTTATGCTTAGAAACCTTGAAACCAAAACCCGAGAAATGTAACACCAAAAAGTAAAGACCAGTTGTATAATGACTGTACGTGCAGCAGTCTAGTTTACCAGTGTAGAAAAGGGATCATTTCACACCAGAAAACCTACTAGGATATGTTATATCAGTAAAAAAATAAAACCTAAATTTTCGGTAGTAAATAAAAAAAATAAAACCTAAATTTTCGGTAGTGGCCAAGTAATCATTTAGTCATTTATTGATATTAACACTCATTCCTAGTTTAAAAACAAAAGTCTTAGTAAACTCAAAAATAATACCTCCTCAACACTCTGAAGAATAACCAGATAACCAACATCACCCATGATAAAAAAAATACTAGAGTTTGTACCCAATAAAATCCAGACAAGTTAGTCATATTAAGAACTGACATTTGAGCATTTCTAAATTGCAGGCACTGTTGTAAGAGGTTTTATATAGATTAACTAATTTAATCCTCACAACAACCCTATAAAATAGTGACACTGGTCCTGTTTCACAGATAGAGGAACTGAGGCTCAGAGAGGCAAAGTAACTTACCCATCACCACACAATTACAATAAAGACACCAAACTGGGCTTTAAACTTAGGACTTCTGTCTTCACAGACCATGTTTCTAATCACAAAGTAGTCCCCATAGTCACTTACTTTTGTTCTGGGTATTCTAGACTCTGCACTAAGAGAAATAGAAATAAGAAGTTTTGTTACTTTCGGAAAGGGAATAAAATTATTATTTTCATATAAGATGATTAAAACATCATATAGATTTACCTGCATAAAATTACTAAAGTATATAAAAAATAAACAAATGAATAACATAGAAGACAAACAACCAACTGGAAAATATTTGCAGTGTACGTGAAAGAAAATAAGATGAACACCTTGCAGAGAAGAGGTTTTCCCCCAAAAAAGTATGCTTATTACACAGTTGATCAACCAATAAACTAAGCTTTTACCTTTGTGACTTAAAATTTCTCTGTTACTGTGAACCTGACCATTCAAAATATATTTTATCTTTTCTAAAATATCGTTCATGATTTATCCCTCTCAGAACTGTAGAAAAGTGATGATATTTTTTATAACAAAAATAATAGCTAATACTGCTTAAGTCATTGCTACATACCAGGCCCATTTGAAGTGCCTTTACTCACGTGATCTCCTGCACTTGTCATAAAGGAACTAGACTGGGAACTGGAGGCGGGTAGGCACTCTGTCTCACTGTGACTCCACACTTAGAATAGCAGAGAACCCAGAGGAGGGTTGTTGTTATATGTATTTGTTGAGTAAATGGACCAATAGCTTTGTGAGATGTAGGAATGTGATTATTGACACGTTAACACAATGTTTAATATAAAAGTGCCCTTCTAAAACAGAGCCATGATCTATCCAGCCCAAGATTCTGTCTCCTACAATAGTTCCAAGGAAGTGGTCGAAGTAGGGCCTCATTGTCTTCCACAGCATGACCTCAGAGCTTCAGTGACATGCCCAGATTTCTGATATCCCTAATGATATATGATTGACAACACACCACGTACTAGGCACTGTGCTAGTTAAAGCATCTCATTTAATCCTACTGATACTTTTATGGGATTAAAAACCCATTTCAGAGAGGAGGGAATTGAAACCCAGAGACTTTAAACACCTTTTTTGAAGTCACACAGCTGGAGAGTGTTGAAGCAGATATTCATATCCAAGCCTCCCTAAATCCAGAGCCCCTAGTTGTCCCTCTGCTCTGCAAAACTTCATGGTTTTTTGTGTTTAGCTTATACCACCTCTCTGAATAAAGAGCTCTTTCAGTTCCTATCTACTGTGTAACAAAGGATAGTTTTTGTTGCTGTGTAAATACTTGGTTCAAGTTTCAGCAGGAAAAAAGAAAGCCTGGCTTTAATCTAGTAATAAAAATATAAGGAGATAGGATAATTTATTTTGTGTGTTTAACAAGCAGGCATCATAGCATTATATCCATCAGTACATTAGTATGTATCTCTAACAGATAAGGACTTTTTCTTTAATATAACAATACTGTCATCACAGCCAACAAAATTAAAATGTTAATACCTGGTCCATGTCCAGTTTTCCCCAGCTGTCTCAAAAATATCGTTTTGGACTTGATTTGTTTGAATCAGGGAGGATGAGGTATTTTTAATATGTAGTATTCTCTAATAAAATCCCCTCAGTACTCTTTGCATTAATGATTGCTGTATTACTTATCAGCAACTTCTTCGAGAGATGCAGCAGATGGCCAGTCGTCCCTTTGCCTCTGTAAATGTTGCCTTGGAAACAGATGAAGAGCCTCCTGATCTTATTGGGGGAAGTATAAAGGTGAGATTGTATTTCAAAAGTCCCTGTGACTTAACTTATCAAAACTCATGCTTCTAAGTCTGGGGAACCAGAGAGAGCAAGAGCCTCATTCTGTTGCCTCTTATGTTATCCTCTCTCTTTCTTCTTAACAGTAAGTCCACACACTGAAAGTGTCAGGTATTCTTTTGCTTTCATTTTCTAATCTTTGATTCATGTTGTTAAGCAGTCTCATATTCAGGGAATTTTAAATTGTAAATAACTTGTCATATTCTTGTAAGTTTTCTATGGCGTAATACTTGAAAACTTGAAAATAGCTAAATTGAACCATTGTTCCTTATAAGTATTTTGGGGGATTTTTTAAAAGGGGAAAAATCATGATTGACTATGAATTCTGTAGTCAAAATAAATAATTCTGATCCCCCCACCATGATGAAGAAAATGATAAGACTTTCTCTTTTAACAAAATGATGAAATATTTCAGATACTCTTGGGAAACAGCTATATGTTCATGGAGCTATGTATACACACACATATATACATATGTATATGTATGTGTATATATATTATATATATATATATATATATATATAT